GAAGAGAGAAAGTGATAAGAAAACAAATAATCAGCCGCTTCATTCTTCCGTAGGAGTGCGATAGCTACATGCAAATTTAGAGCTGTGCTATTACAAGTTATGATTGAAGAAGGATTGCATTTAAACTGCAAAAAAGATGCATTTTTGATAGAAAAGAAACTGATAACATTGTATTTCAGTCATCTCTATTCATCTTTAAGAACCAGCTGAAAAGTATTAAAAATGCCCCTCTAGACAGGCTAATGAAGAAAAGAAACTCGTGTATTTTACATCATTATAAAGGGAGTTGAAAGACCTTTAAAATAAGATATCACTCGACCCCCCTTTCCGTTTAAGATTTAAGGGTTGGTGTTACCCCCGCCCAGGGGGCTGCATGTGTTAACGTGATTTTTTGTCGACGGGTCTGAGCGTTTTTCCAAAAAAAAGACTAAGCTGCCGGTAAATGCGTCTGTTTCATTTTCGATGCGCCACCCTGTATATGGCCATAGTTACAAAAACCGAATGAGGTTCAATTCGGCCTGTGTCGTTTTTGATGTAGAACAGCTGACCCCTTCCCTACCCCAACATTTTTCGTAGTGGCGTAGCGTCTGCAGATGTATCTAGCCTTGGCGAACCATTTGTGGAAGGCGCTTGCCAAAGTTATCGCCCCTCTTTCGACACACTGAATTCTTCATTAGATCACATCCCCTGTACGTTTGCCTTTAGTGCCTCTGTACAGGTGATTGCTAATAAGCATGAAGCGATGTTGTACACGGTTGGTTATGATCACACAGAAATCTAATCATTTTAGACGAAAATACCCCTGGTTTGCGAAACAATTGTAAAGTCTTGTTTTATTGCTGCAAGAGGGCGTATTCAAAACATGGACGCATAAGATAGGTACACCAACTCGACAATAAAGAGTGAGCAAACGCGGTTTTGGCATTCAACCGAAAGGTTTGGCAGGAACGAAAAAACTCTTCATATAAGATTTGTAGGTATTTACGTTGTGGTTATTCAGAAGTACGAATCCTACAAATTTGAAAAATTACAAATATATGCGAGAAACTGTCGTCGCATTACCAACAAGTGCCAAAACCCGCAGTTTGCCATAACATTTTTGCTACTAGTCGGATCTTTTTACGTGTAGTCTCATTTTGTAGGATGCATAAATACCTAAGAATCTTATGAGGAAAGTTTTTCCGTTCCTGTCATCACTTTCGGTTGAATCTCAAAAAGTTTGTTGTCAAATAAAATTTTTTCACATCCTGCGTCAATAAAACCAGTCTACAATTATTTCAGGGAAATTTGCTAATTTCATTAGACTGACTACACATGGAAAACAGACAGCATATTTGAATCATACTATCGGTGTCATTGTATATCAAGGATGTCAGCCCGGTTGAAGGTTGAGTACACGTCTGACTGACAAAATTTCCGGGGAGCTGAAAAAACTGTCTGTTTGGTGTCTTCATCCGGTTATTTCGCAGTGATGACTTCAAAATAATCTTAAATTTTTGTGCATTTTTTTTCAATCGAAATTTGTTAACAAATACACTGGACAACAAATTTTAGTTTTTTAAGTGTATCTTGTGGGAAAAGTGCACTTCTTTGTTAATTTTGGGGCGCTGAATCCAAAAATGACAATGAAATAAAAAAATTAGTTGTGGTTTAGAAAAAAAACTTTTTATTTTTAAGGATATATTAAAAAAAGTAACAAGATTCATATACTTAAAAGAATCACTATATGCGCTGTCTTTTTGCTGTTCTTTTATGGATCGTTTCTGGAGCATCTCTATCAAGAGTCCAACAGTAGTCTGCAAGCATGGAAGGATTCCACTTTCCCTGGTACCTTTTTTCCATTGTTGAAATATCCCGATGAAAACGTTTGCCGTGCTCATCACTTACGGCTCCGCAATTGTCAGGAAAGAAGCCCAGGTGTGAGTGTAGGAAATGTATCTTAAGAGGACATATTACCGCCCATCTTTTGATACGATGACAGCATATTTTTGATAAGGGTTTTATAGTTGTCAGCTTTTCTATTTCCCAAGAAATTAGTGACCACCAGACGGAAATCATTCCAAGCAGTTTTTTCAATACCTGTTAAAGTGTTCTCAAACTGTGTATCTTTCAAAATATTTCGAACAAAAATACCTTCTTTAACCTTTGCCTCACTTAGTCTTGGAAATTGCTGACGCAGGTATTGAAAAGCTGACCCATCTCTATCTAATGCCTTGACAAAGTTTTTCATTAGGCCCAACTTGATATGCAGTGGTGGTGATATAATTTTTTTCGAATCTACTAATGGCATATGCTGTACATTTTTTTGGCCTGGCTCTAGGAATTGACGAACAGGCCAGTTTTGTCTGGTGTAATGAAGTGCCTTTGTCCGACTGTCCCATTCACACAAAAAACTGCAAAACTTTGTGTAGCCTAGCTGCAGCCCAAGTAAAAGTGCAACAACTTTCAAATCGCCACAAATATGCCATTGGTGCCCATCGTATTTTATGCGTGTCAATAGGTACTTCATATTGTCATATGATTCTTTCATGTGAACTGCATACCCTACAGGAAGAGATGGTAAAATATTTCCAATATGCAATAACAACGCCTTTAAACTCAATGTTGAACTGTCTATAAACAATCTCCATCCTTCTGGGTTATAGTTTATATTTAAAGCCGCCAGTAAGCCGTTAATGTTACTGCAGAAAACCAAGTTATTCTCCATTATTCTCCAACACAAGGTACCATGCAAGAATAACAATCATTAATATGATTTGTAGGCTCTCTCCAAACCATTGGGACAGCAAAGCGCATAGACCGTTTTTTGCCATTTAACCAGCTCCTCAGACTTAAAGCACATGTATTACAGCAGATGTGGGGTGCCCACTGATTGTCTTGATCACCAAGTTTACAACCGAAATAAAGCTGATATGCCTTTGTTATTAGTGGAGTAATAGACCGTCTCTGAGACGCAAAAGTCACATCACCACACACGTAACAGAACTGATCTGGATTGTTTACACACTTTCGAGACATCTTGCATGAACGCTGTCAGCCAACTGAGGAAAAAATGGCTAATATAAAACAATATAATGTACGCGTATGTATAACGTAACACAATCATGCCGATTACATCATCTTTCCTTGCCGAATATAAAAATGTAGCACGTGCATTCTTGTGAATTACAGTATATGAACAGTGTCACATCAGGAACACATATAATTACCGTATCTCTAAAACTTGAACTAATATTGAAAAAATAAGTTTCATTCCGGTTTTAGCACATTAAAAATAGTAATATTTTGTTGATTTTATTTAGGATATTTTTTGGCTGTTGATCAGTGATTAATTGTTAACAAGTTACAATTGAAGAAAAAATGCATAAAAATGCCAAAGAAACTGATAACATTATTTTTTCAGTCATCTCTATACACCACCCAGAAACAATCAGATGAAAGGTATTAAGAATATTCCTTTAGACAAGCTAATAAAAAAAAACGAACACGCTACATGAATAGTCATAGCTACAAAAACAGAATCAGGTTTAGTTCGATCTGTGTCATTTCTGATGTGGAACAGCTGACCCCTTCCCTACCCCAACATTTCTCACTTTCGGCCACTTTCAAAAATCCAAAGAAATTCCGAACCTCCACATCAATAAGTAATGCCCTATCCGATCGTGTGTTTCCGCCTCAGTTCGGGCTCGCTCGACAACCGGCCTACCCCGTTGCAGTCAATATGCCCCGCGTCGCCACCCGCAGCGCTGCTTCCCCGAGTTTCCCACGCGACTCTGCCTCGATTTGCGGGAAATTGTGAACGCGCGAGAGGCGATCCCGCGACTTTTCACGCGGCTCTCGCCGGTTTTCTTAACGGATTTTGGACCGGCAAGTGTTGGTTCGTGTTGTGTGTCGATGAATGCGTGTGTGATTGTGTGACAGCCCTGGAGACTTCCGGTACCATTTAGAAATGTTCCGGTGCAGTTGCATTTGATTAAAAAACTTTCTAATGGTAAGTTTCGTCTTGATTGTCGCGAAATTTAGAAATCGGGATTGTTATATGACAGGTAGATGACAAAAAATCGTGCCTCGTACTTTTGTCTAGCTATCTACTACCATGACTAGAACGAAAAAGCTGCGTAGCGCAATAAAAACTGTTCAGTAGTGAGGGAGTTGCTGAGAAAGGAAAGCATAAATAAACAGAAAGATTACTCGAAGTTCGTTGACATTTTAGATATTTAGGTTCATTGTACTTGTCGCGTCAACTGTGGAAGAGTTAGTGTCATCCCGAAAAATTTCAAAAAAGAGATAGTATACTTTTTGGATGTTATATCCATCACGACATACCAGGCGAGTTTGTCTGTACCTATAACTCGAAAAAATAATAATAATAATAAATGACTTTTATTCCAGGCGATGTTTAGCTCAATCCAGTCCCGCACTTAGCCCCTGAAAACAACTAGCACTAGAATTTTGAAAACAATTTTAACAAAATATTCTTCAAACATTCAAGCAAAAATTACACATTGAATACAACGTACACATGTGTGTACAAAAAAAAACTATAAACGTTTTATATCATATGCAGAAATATAGCTGAACTATACTAAGTGACATATAAATCCGAACACCCAGTTTAAATGGTTTTATTTTAATATAATGGTGAATGTATTTATCTTACTGTAAATAACAAGTGAAAAAATGTTCAGCCTTATCAGTTGGGCAGCTTGTCTGTGACAAATTGGGGAACTGAGAAAATTCGCCCCGTCCAATATTTTGCTTCATTAGTTTAACTCTGGCAAGAAACGCTGATAAGATGGACCTTGTTTTAACCAAAATTTAAACTGTCGCCTTGTAATTGCAACTTAACCATATTAAATTTTGTAAACAAATCTGTTAAATAGGCGATGTCTGTTTTCCTCTTCATTAAATTTCCTTTTAAAATTTATATTTAGTAACCAGAAATTCTAAAATAGTCTCAAAAAGTGCAAAAAATCTTGTCAAAAATAAGCCTTTCGACAGCCAGCGTACTTCAGTGTGAAGGAGTAATTGATGAAAGTGTTCGTCATTTTCTTCACACAACTGTGCAATTTACTGCATCAATGACTAAATGAAGTGATTCATGCAATCTAACACTTAAATGTTTAGCAACTAGATGTTGTCGATCGATGGCGCAATGTATTGCTAACACCCCTGACACATTTTGTTTTAAATAGCTTACAAATCCACGATAACGTCCAACTATGGCAGGTGTTCCATCTGTAGCTACTGATATTATATTTGATAAAGGAATTGCTTTTTCAATGAAGCAATCCTTCAAAACATGAAGTATTGATTTACCTTTAGTGTCGGTTATCAAAGTTCTTGCGAAGATCAGTTCTTCGTAGATTTCTTGATTCATAATAAAACGAACATATGCCAATGATAATGCTGCATTGTCAGGTAAAGTTGACTCGTCCAGTTGTATACAGAAATGGGTCGTTTGCAAATAATTACATAAGAAGCTTTCAATATCAGAACTCATTTCATCAATACGTCTTCCAACAGTATTGTTGCTTAAGGGAATTCTTTTAATGATATCAGATGCAGGTTTGTGTAAAACAGTTTTTAAAACCTCTTCAACGGCTGGCAAAATTAACTTCTCTCCGCTAGTATGCGGTTTTCCGGATTTTGCTATAAGTAACGAGATATTGTAAGACGCCCGCAAACCATCATCATTTCTTTGTTGACATTCTGTCCAGTGTAGGTTTCTTCTGAAATTTATCTTTGGGTGTTTGAAAGTATTTCAAATCTTTCTCTGTTTTATCAGGGTGGCGTCTTCTCAGATGATCTTGCAGTTTACATGGTTTCATAGCGTCATTGCCCAAAACTTTGTTGCATAAAAGGCACATAGGCGATTGTTTGTCCGGCAATGATGGAATGAAGCCAAATTTCAAATAATCAACACTGTACTGTCTGCATTTTATTTTAGTTTCGGACATGGCATCAGTCATCTGTGGGCAAAATTAAATTATTTAAATAAGACAGAAAATCCAGCAGCAGTATATTAAAAATATTTTTTGATTTTTCCGAAAACATTCCATAATTTGAACATCCTGCAACATCTAGCTCGAATTACGGAGATTGCACTGGAATTATATTACCGATTGCTAAAACTTTCAAAAAGAAACTATTGAGGAGTACTCGTGTAATTTTGCATGATTGAATTTTCTACTACTTATAACTAAGGTTATGATTGGCGTAATTTATCTATCCTTGCTAACTACGAGTACAAAACTAAAATTTAATAAAAAATAATGTACTTACTTTTCTCCAGCACTCTCAAACAAAATAACACTGACTCACTATACCTTGTGTGATATACTATCTGTTTATATTTTTTAAAATATTTTCTTAGCACTTTCCTTTTCAAGATTCAGGAAACGAATAAACGTATTTGTCCCACATTCGTATTTATAGAGTGACGAATTGAACAAGTCAGTGCAAGGTAGCGAAGCTCTGAGACTGCGACTCTCAGGTTTTTACAAGTTCAAAATGTATTGCGACCACAAAGCGAATACCAACATCCTACAACTTACACAATTTTATAAACATATATAATAAATTTTTTACTTCATAGGTACTTTTATAAGTAATGTATATGTTTTGACATTATCAGATAGTATGATGTAAGTAAATAGGTACTATCAGTGTATGTGTTGAGATCCACTATCGTGGACCCCCATATTCATTTCATGGACCCCCAAATTTTTTTTCGCTGACGTAGACCCCTTGCAGGTTGTCATAGACCCCTAGGGGTCGATATAGACCACTTTGGGAATCAATGGTTTAGACAATAGAAATAAAGCACACTCTCTTTTATTCCTGTACAAAACTGACGCAACAGACGTTTTGTTGATATTCACCTAAACTTCTGCAACCAGTGATTTGCCGTTATGCTTTGTGGGTTGCAGACTTGTCAGATACCACATGGAAGTACGTGAGAGAATTTTGCTGACCGTGGGAAAGAGCAGTATCCTTTGATGTGTGCTGTTTTCTCTGTATCTGCACAAAGGAGTATTATTGAAAGTTCTAAACTCTCGATAGTCATCTTTAGCAAGTTCTTTGGTCAATTCATATCGATAAAATTCTATCAGCTTGTCGGTCTCTGAAACATTCAGGCATGATAGCTTTGCAATTTAAGTCTGTATTTTCTCGGGATCCGCACTTTTCAAGCGCTCGCGAAACTTTTTAAACATTGAAATGTCAGGGCTTGTAGTCATTTAGTCTACCCTGTTAATTTGATCTTGTTATTATGTTGATACGTCAAGCTTTGGCGACTCATTTATAAGCGGCAATGTTGTCACCTCTTTGTGACCGTTTCTTCAACAAAATCTACTTTGACTTGACCATCGCCGGTTACATTCAGCACTTCTCTTTTATCGGTACGTTTGTCCCTACGAATTCGATTTGCAGTAGTTGGCCGCTAACGTTATCGCTGAAATTGGGAATGTTCTGGCGAGTGATCGTTGAACTGCCAACTCGCGCTCAAACTCCCGCTCCGAACTCGTTACCTGCTCATTTCGGGAAGAGACAAGCGGCAGAGGAATCCGCACCGAATTCCACGTTTTTACAGCAGACGACGCGTTAACTGCCTCTACTGGTAGTTGCGGAGAATTTATAAGGCTTCTGTGCGGGCTGCAGGATGTTAGTTGAATCTTTGAATAATCGTCGAAGGAGAGTTCGAACTTGCTAGCACTTTGGAAGGAGATTAACAAAAAAATTTCTCCTTTCTATACTAAGTGACATATAAATCCGAACATCCAGTTTAAATGGTTTTATTTTAATAAAATTTTGTATAAGTACTTAATGAAGCATAATAAGTAAATGATAAAAATTTCAAAATGATTGCATTGCTTTAAAGTCCTTTGACCTTTAATAATGTGTGGATGCACCGTGATGTGCTACGCATTTTCCAACGCGCCTAGGCATGCTTTTGATCAAGTGGTCAATGTCCTCCTGTGGTATCTCATTCCAGGCAACCACCAACTCCTCTCGAAGTGCTGAGGAGGACGTTGCAAATTGAGCAATCTCCTACCCATCATATCCCACACGTGCTCAATTGGGGATAAGTCGGGAGATCTTGGTGGCCATGGTAACAATGTGACATCATTATGTTGGACGAAGTTTACTGTGACTCTTGCAACATGTGGTTGGGCATTATCTTGTTGGAAAGTTGGATCTGCCAGGGTGTCAAGATAGGGTAAAAGAAGGGGTTCTAGAACTGGATATAACGCTGCGCGTTCATGTTACCTCTGATGAAGATTAAAGGTGACCTGGAAGCATAAGCTATAGCACCCCAAACCATAACTCCAACAGTGTGATGAACATGTCTTTCAATAAAAAACTGTGGATTCCTCCTTTCACCACGTCGCCTTCTAACCCTGGCGCGACCATCGTGCATGCCTAAACAAAATCGAGACTCGTCACTAAAGACAATACTGTTCCATTCCTGATCCCAGAGTCACCGTTGTCTGCACCACTCAAGGCGATTACGTCGGTGTTCTCGAGTTAAAGGGAGGACCCAGTGTGTCCGGTATGAAAACAAGCCAAAACTTCTCATTCGTCGGTAAACACTTCGCATGCCAATAGGTCTTCCGTGTTCTGCAAACCATTCGTTTGCAATGGACCTGGTAGTGGAGAAACGGTCCCTTAAGGCCAATAATCTTAGGCGGCGATCTTCACGGTCTGTTGTTCTACGGCGGCGTCCAGTGCCCCTTGCTCTTTGCGTACGGCCTTCTCGAAGCCATGCCTGACAACACCTAACCACAGTGTCTACACTTCTTTGCACTCTAACTGCAATCGCCCGAAAAGAAAGTCCAACTTCCCGAAGTCCCACTATACGGCCCCTATCAAACTCACTAAGTTGACGAAATCGTACAGGTCTCCGTACTCTAGGCATCGTAACCGATCGTAAAGGATGTCAAGAACCAAAATCCGCCAACGTTGATTCTTTACTGCGGCTGAAATATTCATTTTTAGAGCGTTAGTGAATTAAAAAAAAGCAATATAAAAACCGGAATGTCCAACTGATAAGGCTGAACATTTTTTCACTTGTTACTTACAGTAAGATAAATACATTCACCAACTTTTATTAAAATAAAACCATTTAAACTCGGTGTTCGGATTTATATGTCACTTAGTATATATATAGAAAAATCGAACAATTGCGTTCGTTCTTCCAGGGTCTGACTGTGAGATTACGTAGCACAGTGGTCTAGAATAATAATAATAATTTATTACAAATCTAGAATCACGAATGCATAATGTCATAGATGTGGAGCTTCAAACACTAAAACGAAGCATTCAGGTAGTCATAAATACTGTATGGTTCCAGACGAACTAGAACCTGTTACAGGTTTTTCAAGTTTCCTGTACCTTTAATTGCCTTCAAATGTTTAGGTAGTTTTATGATACAACTTTGCGCATATACAGGGTTATCCAAATTAAGTGTCCACCATTAGTAACTTTGTTATTAGTGAAAATACAAAGTTGTTTGAATTAGCAAACTAGTAGCATTTTTAACGCTGGTAAAAATGAGAAATAAAAAAAAACTATTGAGAGTCGTTATTTTGATTTTTTTCAGTAAAATAACATTTTTTTAAATGGAAACCCCTGTATATTAAATTTTTTTCTGTTAAAGCATCAAATTTTAAACAAAAAAGTTCATAATGACTTTTCCGCTAAAGTCAAAAATAAAGTCAAAATAACGATAAATATTTTTAATTATTTGCAGTATTATAATATTAAGACGGCTATGAAAACAACATGGCGTTCGCGATTTGACAGCATTAAGATAAGCGACAAATTGTTAAACTGGACATACTCGCAACTAGAAGGCTTTGGAAAACAATGATTAAATCAAATAATGTCAAACATTAGTGTAAATACTTGTTTATAAGCATTATTGTGTCATTAATTTAAAGAAAAATGTTCTCCCATGAAGAAAAGTGTGATATGTTAGAATGCTATTTAGTGTGCAGAAAATCCTCCTTGAGAGCAAGAGAATACTACAGTGAATTATATCCCGCTCGCATTCAACCGTATGAACGATATTTTCTGAGACTTTATCGAAAATTTAGGGGCAACGAAAATGTTTTTGCTAAAACAAGGGCAAAAAAAGAATTCATAATAAGCGAGGCCACGGAAATTGCAGTTATTGGATATTTTGAAGCTTATCGTGAGAATTCAATAGCAGATATTCTCAAGGACTCTAATTTCAGTTATGGTACTGTTCAAAGGATTTTAAAAAAATACAAATTTATTCCGTATAAGTACCGACCAGTTCAAACGCTTTTGGCAGGGGATCCAGAGAGAAGACTTGTTTTTTGCCATTGGTATCTTAGCTTCTGTCGCCAAAATGTAAACAACTTTCGTTACCTTTTATGGACAGATGAATCAAATTTTTCAA